GTAATGGCTTCAGTCTAGGATCATTGCTCGATAAAGATTTGGCAATTGCCGTTGATGGTGGCCGTGGTGGGGCAGTAGGGGCATTGATGGAGGAGGAGGAGACAACAATGGCAATACTCGTGAACTAGACAGAGAGCGATCAGGAGCTTTCATTGAAGAAATTCCATGGAGCAAAGGAGTTTCTTGTACAATCTCAGGATGGTTGATCCATCTCTTGCAAAACTCATTTCTTTATCTTCTTCATTGTTCTTCTTCCAATAGATCACATCCAGACCATCTTCTTCAACAATCAATCCATTAAGGTTCCATCGAATCTTGTAAATTCTTGAGATTCTGCTTGATGTTCCTTGAGTTTTGCAAGAATGCGTCTTCGAATGTAAAAGAGGAGACCCAGAGAGAGCAGGAGGTTAGCCGCTACAGTAGAAATGCCACAGCTACTATAATGGTGGCTTTCTTGAGCTTTAGCTTCTGTTTCATCATCCTCTTCGGTTCTTGAAGTGGTGGACGTTGTGGTGGCGGCTGCAGCGACCTTCTATGGGAGATGGACAGATTTTCTGTAGTATTGTTCCCTTTTGCAATTGATGTGGGCTCTCACAATCCACCCTCTTCGAGGATACTAAGTCCCGAGGGGTCCAGACGGTGTATGAACGAGGACGTTGAACTTCGAAAGGGGTGAATTAAGAGATCCCACATCAATTGGAGAGAAGAATGAGTAACAACGAGGACGCTGAGCCCTGAAAGAGGGTAGATTATGAGATCCCACATTGACTTGAGAGGGGAACGAAACATTTTTTATAAGAAAACCTGATATGAACCAAGAGACATCAATCATACAATATACTCCAATGAAGATGTGAAAAAAATATTGTTGAAATTATCAAAAGATATTTCAATTCATACCACATTGAAGAAGAATAAAGTTTCATATTATAAATTTTGGGTGGACTACAGTTTAGTAATTTAGAGTTTTTGTATTTCATAACGTATTTTAAGACTTTTTAGTTAATTTAGGTGACAATTATATAATAGTTAATTATGGTCGTTATGGTAATTTAGATTGCAGGTAGAATCATTCAAGCCCGACATGATTCAAGCTAGATATGATTCATCTTGCTTGTGCAGTGATTCGAATCTCAAACAAGTGTTCTTGCCTTGAGATATTTGATCAATAAGGTAATCTGAATCTTACTCCCCTTGAAGTGATTTCCATATATCATTTGGTATCAGAGATTCAGGCTCAAGATCGGGTATATATTTCCTTTGCGTTTCTTCTCAATTTGAGTTTTATTCCAAATGAGTCTAAAAAAAGTGGCCTAAAATTCCTTGAGTGTATACTCGTGAGAGAGTGTTGTGAAGTCTTTCGTATTTCCATAACTTATTTTTTGCAGCAAAGTTTCACAAATAGATTCGAGGACGAATCTTCTTGAAGAAGTGGAGAATGATATGAACCAAGAGACATCAATCATACAATATGCTTCAATGAAGATGGGAAGAAAATATTGTTGAAATTATCAAAAGATATTTCATGCCACATTGAAGAAGAATGAAGTTTCATGTTATAAATATTCGGTGGATTACTTTTTAGAGTAATTTAGAGTTATTGTATTTCATTAATGTATTTTAAGACTTTTTATTTACTTTATGTTACAATTATATAATGGTTAATTATGGCCATTAAGTATGATAAGAGCCAACAAAGCTAGATTTTTGCAAAACTAGATGTCCTTATAGAATCCTTCCAAAACGTTCACAGAGAAAGCTAACTTAACGGATTGATTCCAACCAAGAGCTGGTTAGAAGATGAATGACTCTTAGATCGAACTTGGAATCTATGATGGTCACTCTTAAATACCAAGACAATTCACTCCAGAATTAGCTTGATCAAAACTAATTCAATGAACCGGTTTAAACATCAAACCTAAAACAAGTTTTGAAAAAGAATAACACCAAAAAGATATCAAGAAAACACAAAGATTTTGTTTGTATTCAACAATTCATCTCCAAACATGAATATTACATGCCTTTAAATAGGCTCAAAAGATAACCCTAACATAATAAAGTTCAACCATCAACTACAGATGCTATTAAATACAAATTGAAGAAAATAAGGCATTCATACAAACTACTAATAAATGCTATTAAATACAAATTGAGGAAAATAAGGCATTTATTGTCTTAATTGGTAGTTCAACTATCAAAGTCAAGTCTTCTAATTACTTTCCAATGTCAGCGACTCCATTATCTTCTTGATTTGATATGCTAATGCTATAAAGATTTTTGGGTTCAAAACTCTTTGTTTCAACTTGTACACTAGCTACCTTTTGAAGATGCAATGTATAGGTCTCTTGAATCTTCTTAATATTGCTTCTTGTAATCGGTTCTTCGGGTACATGCAAAGGTCAGCAGTTGAATTCATATCATCCTCCCTTTGTTTAAAAGGATTTGTCCTCAAATCAAGGTCTTCATTCCCTTCTTGATAATGCATTTGCGACCACATTATCCTTCCCCTTTTTGTAATGGATTACATAAGGAAATGTCTCAATGAATTCCACTCATTTAGCATCTCTCCTATTTAGCTTTGTTTGGCTTTTGAGGTGCTTTAAACTTTCATGATCCGTATGAATAACAAACTCTTTTGACCACAAATAATGTTGCCAAACTTGCAAAGCCCTCACAAGTGCATATAACTCTTTGTCATAAGTCGGATAGTTGAGTTGTGCTCCATTAAGCTTTTCACTAAAGAACATGATTGGCATTTTTTCCTACATTAAAAAACAGCTTCTATGCCTATCCCACTTGCATCACATTCAATTTCAAAAGATTTATCAAAGTTAGGTAAAGCAAGACAAGGTGCATTGGTTAATTGATTCTCAACTAAATTTTTTAAGGCTATGCTTCCCATATTGGACAAAAGATGAGCATGAAATCTTAAAGGAAGATTTGAAGGTTGGTAACCTTGACAATACCAACCTTGACAAAGGAATTAACATCATAAGGCATAGATTGCATTCAAAGAAAGTTCTTATAGCTCTTGATGATGTGGATAAGCTTGAGTAGTTAGAAGCATGGGTTGGTACACATGATTGGTTTGGCATTGGTAGTATGATCATTGTGACAACAAGAAACAATCATTTGATTTCTACCGATGAATTTGATCAAAAGTATGGTATTCGAGTAATGAATCACGATCACGCCTTTGAACTTTTTAATTGGCATGCTTTTAAGAAAAGTCATCCACCAAGTAATTATTTAGACCTTTCAAAACGTGCTACAAGTTATTGTAATGGTCATCCCTTGGCACTGGTTGTTTTGGGTTCTTTCCTTTGTACCAGAGCTGAGCAAGCATATTGGAGAAGTATATTAGATGAAAAGGTTGACTACTTTGAGAATATTTTAAACGCATGTCATCTCAATCCAGATTTTGGAGTTTTAGTCCTTATGGATCTTTCACTTAATATGGTTGAAAATGATAAGGTGGAAATGCATGATTTAATACGACAGATGGGTTATAAAATAGTCAATGGTGAATCTTCTTAGCGTGGAAAAAGGAGTAGATTGTGGTTATAAGAGGACAATAAAGGGGAAGAATCTCGATGCACATGACATACATATATGCATGAGGTCCCTTAAAATATCTAGCATGACATTACATAAACAGTGCTAACATCGCATATACGTTTCTTACATTACATGGCATTTCACATGACTTACATTACATGACATTTCACATGACTTACATTACATGGCATATTACATAATATGAAAGTACATTCCAGTTGCATAAACATCTCACGACATGACTCGATATACTACGTGTATCCATGGCATCGATCAACATTTTCATGACATATATTACTAACATCTCATTCATAACTTCACATAACATAAACAGTCAATAGTCAACATAACCCATTATGTTTCATAGCATAAACAGCCACATCATTCAAACATCATAGTTATATCACATAATAAAACATGGTGCATGCAGGGGCCACAGGGCACGCGCCATTATACAACACGTAATAAACTAACTCCAGCAGTAAGGTCACTTACCTTGATGGCCTTGGCCGAAATCACTCACAACAAGCTAATCCTAACGGTTAAATACGTCCTATAATAACCGCATAAAAACTTAGTAACCTTTCATGATATACCCTAGCTAAATCTCATGTTATTTATCAAAATAAACTCCCTACCCAATCTGTCTTTGACGGTAAGAAATCATACTGACCTCAGATGGTAAAACTAAGGGCACAAACTGTTTCGGAAGGGCCAAAAACCTTAGAATCGATATATTATAGTGATACCGAGCCGCCAAGCCGAGCTGCCGAGCCCCCGTACATGTCAAGCAAAGTCGAGAGCACGCGTACGGAGCCGAGACCAAGGCTGCAGCGCGTGTCCGTGTTGGGCCGAAACGCACAGGGCCCGCTTCGTCTGTGGGCCGGTTCAGAGGCCGTAATCTGACCCGACTCTGCAACTTCTTCTCCTGCACCCTCATGAAAACCCTAATTTGATGTGCCGTCACTGCCGACGGCACAATCCCTTTCGTTTCCGACGACGCTCACATGGCGTCCTCCTACTTCGCTTCCAACAGTTTGCCTTCTTCGACGCAGCGATTCCGATGTCGACGCTAACTTCCACTCGACTCTTCCTCCAAAATAGCAACACAATCGATTTCGAGAACTCGCCGAACAAGAAAACTACCCAACGAACCAACCCACACGTTTTCCTGGCTAACACTCTCGATTTTCCCAACTCTCAAACATCCTTGAAAATACAAACAAGTTTGGAGAGCAAAAGTCGATTTCAAGGAAGGAGAAGAGTTGAATATAAGAATATAAAAGGTTTCATAACTTTTCCATTAAGGTAGTAACTTTCTTGTAAGAATTCGTGCACTTTTTCCAGATAGAATAAATGCATAGTAATATCTTTTCATTTTGGCAGCAAAAATAAAATTTCAACATAAAATAGAAATAAAAATCTGAATCCTTACCACTTATAGTTCGAAATGCAAGATTTTCTACAAATCTTAAGTGTCTACTGGATAACTTAAAGTGGATTAAGTGACATGCATTTGGTCACGGCTCTCTACCGTCAATTTCTTTTACAAAAAATCCTAGTTGGATTAGATTTGCAACACAGTCGATATCCCAAATTTTGAGAAAGGATGGAAGGTAATTATATTTTCACGGGTGTGTTTGGAGGTTTCTTCTTAGATTTTTTTTTTTAAAAAAATTTATGGGTAGCTTAAAAAAAATGTTTATATGACACATTTTAAGAAATAGATCATTTATATACTTGAATAATTGTGTAGGATCTAAATTACATTAGATTGCTATTTATTATTATTATTTTTTTTCCACTTATTTTAGGAATGTAAAAGGTTGAAGCTGGTTGATTTTAGTTACTCAAGGTTAGAGAAAATTCTTGACTTCTCTACCTCATGAAGAATTGTATCTTAACCCCTCTATAAATTTAAGAACAATTCCCATGTAAGTTGTTTCGATTGGTAAGCTTGTTATCTTAGACCTTAATCACTCTTCCAATCTTAAAAAGCTTCCAAATTTTTCTGCAGCATCAAACCTTAAAAATTATATTTGAAAGAATGCACAAATTTAAGAATGATTTTATTGGATCTCTTTATGAACTTGTTATCTTGAACCTTGAAAAATGTTCTATCCTTAAAAAGCTTCTAGGCTATCTTTCATTGAAATCTCTTAAACATTTGAATCTCGATCACTGCAAAAAGCTCAAGGAAATTCCAGACTTCTCTACCACATTAAACCTTCAAAGCTTATATCTTAAAAAATGCACAAATTTAAGAGTGCTTCACGAATCTATTGGATCTTTGGATAATCTTGTTGTCTTGGACGTTAGACATTGTACTAAGCTTGAAAAGCTTCCAAGCTACCCAAGTTAAAATCTCTTGAATATATCAAACTCTCTGGCTGCTCTAAGTTCGAAATGTTTCGAAAGATTGCTGAAAACATGAAATCATTTATGTTATTGTATTTGGATTCTACTGGCATAAAGAAGCTATCTTCATCCATTGGAAACTTTATTGAGCTCAAAGTCTTAAACTTTGACGGTTGCACAAACCTCATCTCTGTTCCTAGTATAATTTATCAATTGGAAACCTTATAATTTATCAATTGGAAACCTTGAGCTCAAAGTTTTAATTTTACATAATCTTCCAAGAGCTTAATTTTTGTGGGTGTTCTAGATTTGAAATGCTTCCCCATAAATGGGACTCACCAATCCATCCATTATGCTTTCTTCAAATCGTGGAAACTTACCCACAAACCCTATGTTATGTTTTCCCAGCTGACTTTGTTGGATTTTCAATAGTGCAGATTTCTTGGAAATTTTATGTGATGTCCAACCCTCTTGTCGAAAAATAAACTCGGTTGTCTACCCTCATGTCTTCATAAGTTTATGTCCTTGTGGAATCTCCCATTGAAGAATTTGCAAGTTTCTTCAACAAATTCCAAACCTTCCTAAGTGTATACAAAGAATGGATGCCACTTGTGGTAAATCATTGGTTAGAAGTCCCGATAACATTTTGGATATAGTATCAAGCAAGCAGGTTCATCTCTTCTCATTTCATTTCTTTGTGTTTATGTTACATTTTTCTCTCTCGTTAATATTTTCATGCATGTTAATTCTTATGTCACAGGACATTACATTGGGTGACTTTCCTAGAGAGTTCATTCTAATGGATATTGAAATTCCAGAATGGTTCAGCCACCAGATTATATCAAATTCAATAAAGGTTAGCTTTCGACATGATCACAATATAGAAAGAACTTTAGCTACTTATGCTAAGTTCAGAGTAGATGGAGATTCTTATGAAGGGGAAGCCTTAATTTCATATAACATATTCATCGGGTATAGACTCCAAAGTTCTGTTATGAGAAAATTCTCACCATCAACATCAAAATATACATGGTTAGTAACAACTTCTTCTCCAACATTTAGTAGCTTCTTAGCATTGTATGACACTTATCATTAGATTTTGCAAAGCTAGAGGTCCTTCTAGAATCCTTGTAAAACGTTCACAGAGAAAGCTAACTTAACGGATTGATTTCAACCAAAAGCTGGTTAGAAGATGAACAAGAGCTGGTTAGAAGATCAATGACTCTGAGATCGAACTTGGAATCTATGATGGTCAGTATTAGATACCAAGACGACACACTTCAGAATTAGCTTGATCATAGCTAATCCAATGAATCGATTTTTAACATCAAACCTAAAACAAGGTTTAAAAGAAACATACCACCCAAAGGTTTCAACACGAGATTTTTGTATTCCACCATCATTTCAAAATTGAATATTACATGCCTTTAAATAGGCCCACAACATAACCCTATCATAATAAATTTCAACCACCAACTACAAATTACTAATAAAAGTTATTAAATACAAATGAAAGAAAATAAGGCATTCATAAATTGTTTTAATTGGTAGTTCAACTACCAAAAGCAAGTGATATAAACCAAGGGACATCAATCATACAATATGCTTCAATGAAGATGTGAAGAAAATATTGTTGAAATTATCAAAAGATATTTCAATTCATGCCACATTGAAGAAGAATGAAGTTTCATGTGATAAATTTTGGGTGGATTACAATTTAGAGTTATTGTATTTCATTAATGTATTTTAAGAGTTTTTATTTACTTTAGATTACAATTACATAATGGTTAATTATGGCCATTAAGTATGAATGTAACAACTCTTGGAATGCTTTATAGTTTCATTTTTTAGGCTATATTAAAGTCATGTATTTTGTATTTGTAAGTAGACTGGAAAATCTATAGGAAAAGAAGCATTTGTGCTTTCTTTAGCCAATGACTAAGTTTATTTGCAATTCTCTGTAGCTTAGGTTGCATGTAGAATCATTCAAGCTAGATATGATCGATCTTGCTTGTGGAGTGATTCGAATCTCAAACAATGTTCTTGCCTTGAGATATTCGATCAACAAGGTAATCCGAATCTTACTCCCCTTGTAGTGGTTCCTTATCTTATCAGCAAGTCTTCTAATCACTTTAAAATGTCAGTTACTCCATTATTTTCTTGATTTAATATTTGAATCTTCTTTGTATTTCTTCTTGTAATTGCTCGTTCAGGTACATGCAAGTGATCAGTTGTTGGATTCATATCACAATTGAAAAATGAAAAGATTTGTACAAGTTATATCTTCGGAACCTTTATAGTTGAGCTCCGGTAAAAGGCAAGAAAAAAAAAGATAATTTCTGGAAGATAGAAGAAGAAAGAAGGAAAGAACTGTCAACCACGAAATTCAATCAAAATCAAACTTATATCCGAATAGTCTTCAACATGAAAATGAAAACAAATAATTCATAATAGAATTTTTTACATGAGAACAAATGAATTAAATCCCGTAAGAGAAAAATTCTTCTTTTAATTTTAAGGATATTTTGGATATTTTTCACAAAAGACATTTGCAAGTTGGTGTGCGATCTTGTTGCCTAAAACTTTTCTTCTTGAAAACTTAGCAAGTGCTTGATTTAGACTATCTAAGCTATTCAAAATGCAAGCTATAAAGACTCCATTTCTTTACTAAGCCCTCCGCTTCTTCTTCCACCTCTTCAATCATGTCCTTGCATGGTTTTTTTCTTCTTGTTCATGATGCAATCTCAACCATCCATCTTCACGACAAGTTCGAAGAATCTGTCCAGTTCGACCCTAATCTTTGTCAGCTCCAACCTCCCATCTTTCTTCACATCCTGGAGATAAAAATTGGGACAACCATGTTGGTTCCATGACATCAACAGCCGCTGAAACTTCCTCCCCACCACCCTCTTTTGCCACATTTTCACTGTCCACCCACCATCATCTTGTACTCAAATGTGACCATTAAAATGCTCAACTTGGTGTGCCGTACTAAAAAACTGATACCCAATTGTTGTAGTCGAACCCACAACCAAAGTACTATGATACCAATTATTGTACCCAGAGCTCTGATACCACACGTTGTAGCCAAAATGCCACAACCAAAAAAGTTATGATACCCAATTGTTGTAGTGGAAGCGAAAGCAAGATCGATTGTACTCGCGCACACACAAATAGAAATTAAACAAAGAGACACAAAGATTTACTTGGTTCAAAAATTCCCCTACATACACACGGGTGGTAGCCAATCACTATAACCAAAGTGTTTACAAGTGTATCTCTCACGCTCTCACATACAAATTCTCTTACAAAGATTATCCCAATTGATTATAGACAAATACAAAATGACAATGACTCCACATTACTCCACACAACTCCACATGACTTCACACATCAAAACAATGTTATACAGGCTTTTATATAGGCATAGTGTTAAGGATAGTTGACCGTTAATTATGGTGAATTCAGCAAACATTCACACATAGCAATACACATTCTTAACCAAATAAATGAGACTACTCCTATTAAATATGGTTATGAACTAAATGAGAGTTAATAACCAAGATAAATAAAAATATTAATCAAAATAAACTAAATGGGAGTTAATAACCAAAATAAATGAGAATTATGACAATTCATCTTCATGACAATTTACAACACATCACCATCTCCGCCGCCATCCTCCATCGTCATCACTTCATCATTCACCAACCTCTCATCATAACAGTTATAGCCCAAAATAATAATAATAATAATAATAAAACAAAAAAACAAATAAGAATAATTATAAAAAAAAAATATACATCAAAATAATAATAATAATAATAATTCATAAATAAATAACTAAAAATGATTACTTAAAAATAAAAAAATAAAAATTTACCCACCTCTCTCCACTAACCTCTCATCCCAACTCATCCTCTCCTCAACCCCACAATATCACAGTTGGTCCAAAAATAAAAAAACAATGTCAAATTTGAGAAAAAGTAAAATCGCATTTCAACAAAAGGATATGATGAAGATTTACTAGAGAGATTTTGGTTTGGTATTAAGTAAAATCCTATATCATATTTCCATTTTTCCTTTATAGTTATAGTTATAAGAAATTAATTTAGAATCAAATCTTCTTCCATATTTTACCAGTAATAATCAGATCCCATATTCAATTAATTAGATTTTTGTTAACAAATCTTCTTCCATATTTTACCAGTTAGTTACTGTAATAATCAGATCCCATGTTCAATTAATTAGATTTTTGTTAAGATTTGAAGTTATAGAAATAATGTTAGAATCAATAAAATGTTAGTTGTCAGATCTATACGATAGTGGCCAAGCAATGATTAAAATTATCCAATAATATCTGTTTAGAAAATAAATATAGGGTTAGAGATCTTGTTTACATAATTGAAAATGTTTACCCAATTGAAAATCTATTTACTAAAATAATTACAAAGATAGAGGAGGGAAGATTGAGGGAAGATGGGTAGAAATATTTATAGAATAGTAGTAAAAAAACCACAAATTAAATATAAAGAGAA